AGCAGTGCTGTATTTCCTTACACAGAGTTATTAGCTGCACTTGGAGCCCGTTCAACTGCAAATCTTGAGATTTCTGTCACACGAGGCAGCAACTGCTCCCATTGACACCTGGCCGCTTGCTGAGAGCCTGGGAAGGAGCCCAGGAGGAAAACTGCTGCTGCCACTCACTAAGGAAAACAAACAGCTTGTTTGTGCGTGTGGTTGGATGTTATTGCAAAGGGAGGTCTTGTGCCCGGCATCACCCTCAGAGCACAGCAAGCTGCTGTTGAGTCACAGAGGGTGCTCCAGGGAGGGAAGCATGACCGGCTGCGGAAGCCTCTTTGATCCACCAGGAGTGCAATGCACGAGGGACACAGCAAGCAGAGGAGAAATCCACTGCTGGGCTCTCGCTGCAGCTGTGTCCTGGACTCCAAAGCTGGATTGAGCTGGGCTGGAGTCACTGGCCAAGAGAAAAATGCAGGCAAATGCCACCCCAGCCCACACGCTCCTCCACAAGAAAGCAACTGTCCTTTGTGCTTTGCTGCCTGAGATGCCTGTGTGCTGTGGTTCGGCTGGCCCTGCTAAGACAGCACTATTAATGATGACAATCTGAAAATCACTTTCAGAGACTTCATGACGATGTTGTTATTACTAACTTGCCAAATGAGTGCTTAGACATTTTGGAACATGTAGCCACACTCCCATGAGCCGCAGGAAACAGTCAGCTTCAAAGTATTTGCCTTAAGCTGAAGGATTGACACAAATACTATCTGTACAGCGCCAGTCAGTAAATTAATTGCTATCTGCTATGAAATTCTGCTATAGATCCTCAGCTTCTCCATCCACGGCAAGCCGCTTCCTCACTGCCTTACTCCTATTGATGCACTATGAGATGCTGACCTTCTCCTGGTAGACAACTCTGCTTCTCCCATGCTGTACCCTGCTGTGAGCCCTTGGTGGGGTAACGCCAGGCCCTGAGTGCTGTGTGTGGGAGAAATCCCCATTAGCTGCTGCATCACAGCTGTGCTCCCGTGCAGGGGACAGGAGGGGAGGGAATGGGATGCTCTCAAAGCATGCCCACAATGAATATGGATGGTCATCCATCAATGTGTTTTAAGCACATTACTTCTGTGTCAGAAAGGGAAAAAAAGAAAAAAAAAAAAGAAAAAAAAAAAGGAAAAAGAAAGAAGGAAAGGAAAGAAAAGACATATAAAATTAAGTTTGTGTCACTCATTTAACACTGCAATTTCCCCAGAGGATTATGCACCAAACGGAGATAGCAAGCTCATGAATATTAATCATTTCCCTGAATGCAATGCAGCCCTCCAAACAATAAGATTAGGGGAAAGTGCTATGCTTAATTTATGGATAATGGGAGAGGTAAAGGACAGAGCTCCCACAAAGGTAGGGCTCACAGCTGGAGGGAGAGGCCTCCAGGAGGAAGAGGGCAGATCCAGATTTGTGAGGGACCAAACAAGCTCTTGGGGCCAAGCGGCAGCAAAAGAAAAGGTGTTAACGGATCGCTGACAAATTAAAATCATACTTCTCTCCGAACAGCCACTGTGACTAATGCTGCAAGCACGCCAGAAATCGGCAGCAAACTCAAGAGCTAAACACTCTGTGCCTTCTCGTGGTGTTTCGCACCCCAAGTCCCAACCCAGTGCCCAGGGAGATGTGTGCCTGACCCCACACCCTCAGCCAAAGGCAGCAGAAGTGCTGCCCCGCACTGCTGTACAAAGGCTTCAGCGCGGAGCCCTTCCAAGCAAAGGAGATAAAGTGCAGCAATAATAACACCAGTGAGATGTGGTTCAAAACCCCATAAATTACCAGGCAAACTTACAGCTAGATAGAAGTTTTGCAGCCACTTTCCAGCTGGTTTGCAATGAGTCTATCGGTCTTTACTCATCTCTTTTCATATTACTCTCTCTCCCCCTCCCTTCTTTTTTATTGATCTCTGCATCTTTTCTATTATATCCTTCTCTTTCTTCAGCACTGGAGAGCTAAATCAATGCATAATGCACATCACACTCAACAAAAGGAATGCAAATGAAAGCAGCACTCTTTTTCAATGCACACACATATATCTGGAAGCATGTGCACGATGTTTGTGGGAGAGTGCACACCAAGGACGAGGTGCTCAGCTGCTTATTAGACACCCATTTCCCAACAGCCTGGTGGGAACAGATCAAGCGCTAAAAGGCTCTGGGTTTGCACAACTGCAAATCGTAACTCTTCCAAGTGGGGCCTGTTTTGCATGGGATTTTGCTCGAGTTTGCTCAGCAATGCCAAAAACCAGGTGTCCTGGGTGAAACCACAAGCAAGGCAAAAAGCAAAGCAGCCGGGAACAGGAGAGGGGTACGTCAGTCCCTGTGGTTCACTCTTATTCCACGAACCAAAAGGCAAAGTGAGGCCCCTGTGCAGGGCAGATACAAGATGCAAAATCTGCTCCGCGAGAGGGGAAAAAAACAACAACAAAAAAGAGTACAGGTGATAAATTTCAGCACGAGGATGGGCGAGCGTGCCGCAGAACTTCAAAATAAAGCAGCGCTGCCAGATGCTCCCATTAATTAATTAATTAATCTCGCTGTCGCTCTTCAGCATGTTGCAGGGAGAAGATGCTATTAATCTTATCTGTTTTCTTTGAGTCGGCTTTGTGTGCAGAGAAGGCCAGGACAACCTGACAGCAAAGACCACACAGTTTTGTCCCTGCCTCCCTCCCCCCTCCTCCCAGCAGAGCAGATTGATCCGCTGTTATCTGATTAGAGAGGAGAGGAGGAGGGAAAACAAAACCAAGAAGAAGGAAATAAAAAAAAAAAAAAATAGCCTAATTTTATTACAGGCACTGGAGCAAAGTGTCTTGTGGCATTTATTCAAAGGAAAGTCAGACCAATAAAGAAAAAAAACACATTAACATCGTGATCCTAAAAGGCAAAGGGACTAAAAGAGAGAGAGGGACACCTGCAAACAGGCTGCCTCTGTCCATGGGGATGTCAGCACAGCTGGATGGCAGCCTGAGCCACGGGCTCCAGCACTGAGGCTGGAGCTGACTTTTAAGTTGGCCCTGCATGGACCAGAGACCTCCAGGGATTCCGTCCAGCCTCCACAACATTCACAAGATGATACAGTCCTACAGTCCTGATTCTGCAAAGCCTCTGTACATCATGGGAGGCTCACTGAGTTCTTCGGTGAATGGGAGTGAAGGACAGTGCTGAGGCACTGGTGCAGGCTGCCCAGAAAAGTGCTATGGCCAGGAGGGATGCGGCTTTGGGCACCTGCTCTGCTGGGAGGTGTTTGTGCCATCAGCAGGGGTTGGAACTCGATGGGCTTTATGGTCCCTTCCAATTCCATTCTGTGATTCCCGGGGCACTAAAAAGCTGCACACTGCAACAAGAATATTGCTGCATAAACAACAGTCTGAAATAACTTGTTGTCCTACAAGATTATAACATGTATTAGCCTCATAAACATAGAAATAAATTACACCTTATTTCCCTCTACTCCTCACACAAGGACCCAAGCAGTCTGTATTTTCCAAGAAAACACCCCACCAGCCTCAAAGGAGACTTTTGTTTGGCTAAAGACAGTGGACTCAGGGTTATACCCAAACATAAAGGTGGGCTATGGCCAAAGAACTGACGTGGACCAGGGAAATGAGACCTACGAGGGTGCACAGCTCCGTCCCCAGCCCTTGCTGGAACCAATCTCGGGTCATGCCTGACTTTCCAAAAACCCAAAACGTTTGCATAAGTGTTTATTTCGCTTTCAAAATATTATGACTAATATATTTCAGTGCTTGAGGTCTAATTCAGCAAATCACTTGAAACACAAATGTCACTTCAAGACCACCAATAGTCACAATTAGCCCTGACCATAAATATTCTCATATTTCAATAGAGCTATTTACATATGTAAATATGGAAATAAGTACATCACCGAATCAGGCCTCAAGTATGACTGTGTGGGATGCTGAAGTAAAAATGTGGTGGATGAGACAAGCAGTTCCCAGCTTACCACCCAAGGGAAACGTGTTGCCTGTGAGGTCCGTTATATGTTGTTCCAGCCACAAGAGATAATCATCAGATTGCCGAAAAGAGCAAATTTCAGTCCTGCCAACATTATATTAACTGCTCAGGACTGATGCCCTGAGCTGAAGGCATTGGATCACGAGATGGGACAGACAGAGCATTCGCTTGGTTAGTCCAGATAAGGAATCCCATAAACCTCTTGAGAAGAGACTGATCCCTTATAAACATTAACTTTGGTTTCAGAAGGTCTGCATGTCTCATCCTTTCCCGGATCTCCAAGTCCTGTTTGGGAAATGCAATCCCCCAGCGCAGGGCTGCCCAGCACAAGGTTCAGTGAGAATTGGTCTTTTCCCTTCTCTGCCCCCAGCATTCCTAGAGAGTTTAATAAATATGTAAAGCTCACAAACGCAGCCCTGCTATCCCAGATAGCCCGAGCATCTTCCGGCCATTGTGCTTCCAGGTTTTGCTAATCAGAGCAAACCAGGCTTGCAAATGAAATCTGATTAAGTAGTTTTCACCTCTCAAAAAGGGGATTAGCCAGACCTTTGATCTTCAGATACTGATTTGCAACTCAAAGGAGGTGTGACCTCAGCTGGACTTGCTTCTGGTCTCAGCCCCTTCCCCTTTCACTCCTCCTCCTGTTTACCAGAAAAAAAAACCAGTTCATGTCTTCTCACGTAGCCAGATCTAAAGCCTATTGAAGGCGGTGGAAAGCCACCCACTGACTTCAATGGGCTTTGGATCAATCCCACAATGGCTGACTTAGCCCTAAGTCCTAGGTTGTTTCAAAGCCAGCAGAACCAATTTCCCATCAAAATGACCAGAAGCTGGGAAGATATGTTCGCCTTTCAAACCTACAAATTCCGACTTTTTTTCCTCTTCCATGACAACTCTTCAGCTGGAGATGCTGAAAATACTGTTGATTTTTTTTCCTCGCGCCTTGCATACAGCAGTTGCCCACCAGTTGTAAGTGGAAAGGCTCTGAGCCAGACTTACCAATGCAATTAAAGGATAACTCCTGCAGGCAGAACAGGGAGCAGCCGTCACCATTGATCTTATTCATGTCATCACATTCTTCCCCCAGGTCTCTACAGGCAGGGCACAAACAAGAAAAATGAGTCAGATGGCAAATGGCGTCATCCCAATGATCTGCAGAACCCCAAAGCCCTGACATCCCATGGAATGGCACTGCGTTCCAACCCTGGACACTCCTCTCCCTTCTTTCTTCAGCTCCTACTTTCATCATCCCTGGTTCACAGACTTGCCTGGCCACTTCTCTCCTACACATGTGGATACCACTTGCTGTTCTCTGATGAGGATATGAGCAACTTCCTTCATAGCTGGTGCGGCTGCAGCTCAGCAGGTGGGGAGAAAGAGAACAGGAATCTCTGAAACCCTTTGTATTAAATCTGGAAAGGCCAGTCTATGACCCCAGTATGGAATAACAAGGTACAAAGCCCAGCGGGGCTATTCCAGGTGACAGCGGTCTGCAGGCACTGGGTGGTGTCAGGGATGGGGTCCTGCCTTGCTCCAGCCCACGCTGTTGCTTGTTTGTAGAGCGCAAACCAGATGAGAAAGAGGCTCCACAGCTGTAAGTGGGGACACAACTAAGCACACTGTGACACAGTCTGGTTCCTGCTCGCTCGTGAGGCAGCTCAGCTATTGTTCGACGCTTGCTGCAAAGCCACAAGTGATGTTTGAGGAATGTGCAAACATAACAGTAGGAGAAAAGTTATGGAAAGCAAAATTAATCTGTCTTTCTCCACCTCTCTCTCCAAGACTGGCCTGGATTCATAAGTCAACTGGCTGCTCTGTTTGATTTTCCTGCCTGTTGGGCCTCATCCTGCAAATACTTGCTGCCAGGTATATAATCTGACAGAGCTGTGCTGGTGACTGCTGATCAATAACATTTCAAGACAACAACATTGGCTGGATTAAGCATTTGTTTGTTGTTACTTCTGTAATCATAATTAAACAATCTTATGCCACAAAGCTTAGAAGCAGGTGTCCCTGAAGTCCAACACAGTAAAAGAACAAACCTGAAAGCAGTTGTGAATGACTGTTTTACACTTCCAGTGGTCTGGGGGCTGGCAGCTGCTGAGAGTGAGGGGCTTACTCAAAGTGTGCAACCCCCAGCAGCAAGTCCAACGCTTCCAAGTGCACACAAGTCCAACAGGAGGATGCATCAGGAACCCAGCAGGCCACTTGGGGCTCTACCCTGTCCAACAGCTGCCAGGCACATGGGGCTTCATGTGGAAGGACAGCATCAAAGACAGTGGGAATTCTTCCAGCATAAGAGCTCCATATAGAAAATGCCACCTACATGCACATGTAACAAACAGCACAAACAGCATACAGCATGCTTCATATCAATCCTGCTGGACTCCACTGTCTGTATCTCTGTCTGTATCTACTGGTGCCAGGACAGCAGGGCCTAAGTTCCAATTAAACGTCATCGTCCTGGTAATCATCAAGCACATGAGTCATTACGTGCAGATGAAAGGTAGCCTAAGCTAAGGAGACATCAGTGGTCATCACTTTCTTTCTGTGCTCAGATTGTGGCTGGGTAGATGTGCTCACATTTATCTGTTTGCTCTTCCAGACTTACGTTTGGATAACTCCATCTCCACAGTACCCACTCCCAGAGACGTAGACAAGTGCTGGGGAGGGTTCACTCTGCTCTGCCCCGGAAACAACGACGACCTGGTATGTGTAGGTGGTGCTGTCGCTCAGCTCCCTGCAACACAAGAGGAAATATTGAGTGACAGCCCATCAAAGGCAATGACAAAGGGCAGAGAAGGAGTTACTGCAATGAGGGCTGGCCAACAGAAAGCAAGTTCTGGTTCCGTCAGGCCCTCAGAACATTTTTTCATTTTGACGGGGATAATTTTTGCTTGGCTGCTTCTTTTTTTTGTGAGCCCTGTAAATCCATGCTTGACTTGCGCACAGCTCTGAGCACATCCTGGTGCAGCTCTTGATTATGGAATCACAGAATCATTAAGGTTCTGGGAAAGACCAAGATTACTGAGTCCAACCCCAACCCAACCCCGCCACGCTCGCTAACCATAGTCCTCAGTGCCACATGTCCACGTTTCTTGAACATCTCCAAGGATGGTGACTCCAGCACTCCCTGGGCAGCTGTGCCAATGCCAGATCACCCTTTTGGAGAATAAATTTTCCCTAGTGTCCAACCTGAACCTCCTGTGTTTGACAGCTGAACTACTTGCATGTTGCTGCTGAGGTCCATGCCTGCTTCACAAGTGGCACTGCACCAGCACTGACCCCAACTGTGCACAGTGCTGAGTGGTCACAGCACTGCTGGCACCCAAAGAAGCAGCCGTGGGCTCTGTCGTGCTCAGGAACAGCACTACCTGCAGCTGATGGCACAGATCACGTAAGGAACTCAAAACGCTCTGCAAACACTGATTACGTCCTCGACAGCTCAGTCCAACTGCAGCTGCAGCCAATGGGAATTTATCTATTGATCTCAGACAGAATTGGACTGGGGGTGTTTCTCTGATAGAGAAATATGTTACCTACTTTGTGTACAGGTACTAAACCAGCAGAGTTAAAGGGAAGCTCTCTTCACTTTAAAAATAGGATTCAAACCATTGTCCTGGATCACGGTATTAGCATCTAAACAGTCACAAAAAGAATTACCAGCCTGTTCCATATTTATACAGAGCCTTAACTTCTTAAATCCTGTGAATCTCTGAACAAGACAAGATTTTTTTTTATATATATTATAGAAAAATATAAACCTAATGTGAATATTTAGGTCTTTCATGGCACGTTTTATGTTAGCAGAACTTAAGATGTTCCACAAAGAAACTCATTACCGTTATCCTCATTGTGCTGATCTGCAAAGCCACAGAGCAGGGGAGATATTTATCCTCTATAGAGCACCAAGCCATTGAAGCAGGCATCGGTGGACTGAGGTCCAGGTTGGTGACATTACTATCTCCTTACAACACTCATTAAATTAACAAGCACAACTTTAAGTCCAATACCACACATTATATTTTACAACAAAGCTGCTTCTCATGCCTGCAGCATAACTACCACGGAATGAAACACGTGCTTTCACACAGGGGTTTGATTCTTTGCTGCCACACTTTAAATTGTGGATAAAACTCAGTGGAACCAAAGCATATCACCAGTGTTTTCTTATTGATTCCTGTTGGCAACAGCCTGCAGTATCTATTGGCTAAACATGAGAGACCTCAGGTAGCATGAATCTCAGTTTGTCCGTGCTGGGGAGATACCTACCTAGGTATTAGTGTGGTTGTTTAATTAGAGTGCAAGTTATCCAAATTCTGCCCTAGTAATTCCCTGTATAAAGCTGTCATGTGAGCCAACCAGAAAAAAATCACATGAAATAACTTCAATGGCCAAACACACCCCGATGTGTAACGCTGAGGTTTTCACTCCCAGATAAATCTGCTGATTAAGATCATCGAATCATTGAGGTTGGAGAGAACACCAGGATCACGAAGTCCAGCTACCAACCCTCCTTCACTGTGCCCACTAACCCAAGTCCCTCAGTGCCACGTCTACTCTTTTCTTCAACACCTCCACGGTCAGTGACCCCACCACCCCCTGTGCCAATGCATCACCACTCCTTCTGAGAAGATATTCTTCCTAATATCCAACACGAAGATGGGAAGCATCCAATATACACTGATGAAACAAAAAGCAGAGGCAAGCTTTGAATATTAAAGGGCGATTCTCTCTCTAATTGTTTCTCAAAACCATTCATAAAATATTTAAGATTAACAAGGATATTTGTAGAAATTTAGATTTTGCCTCCGGATATCTTCCAACCACAAAAACGTTCAGTTCTTAGAAAAGCCTTGCTATCAATGAACCGTCCAGGCAGCTGCAACATCTACAAAATAAACAGATCAACAGTGCTTTCTGATGTGCTGAAACCATGAAACACAAGCGTGAAACACTGACAGAAGTTTTCAAGTTGTGATTTTTGCACGTGATTTCCACCGGCAGGTGATGGACAGGCATCCAGCCAACAGCAAAAGTGCATCCCTGCAAGTGTGCCTGCGTGTGTGGGAGTGTTTGTGTGTGCTGGTGTGCACATGGAAGCAAAGCAAAATCAAGGCAAAGTTCACATTTGTTTACGCACAGGGTGGGAAGTTGGCAGAACAGAATGGAAGAAGACACAGTACTAAATTAAGCACAGGAAAGAATATGGTGTTTAGGAATTATTAGGTGATTGGAGATGGATGCGTATGTGGGTGAATGCGACAGAAAACTGGAAATGAAAAGTTATTACGTGGGGAGAGCTCTGGTGTCTTTAATTATATTGACTGTGAATGCAAAATCTGGTATGCGGGAAGCATCCTGAGCGCGCTGGGGAGCGCTGACGTCAGGCACTGGCAGCAGTGCTGCTCCATGCTGTCACCTGCAAGACAAGGGCTGCTCCAAGCAGGGATAAAAACAGGACTGGGGCCCTGGCTGCTGGTGGCGTTGATGGTGACAATGGTCCTTGCAGTGCTCCATGCTGTGTCAGGAGGTGAGAAAGGAGAGCATCTTTAGCGCTGAGGATGTGAACAAACACTCGTTTAAATTTATATCTATGGTCTTTTAATGACCTTTTTGAGAACTGAGTGAGCCGCATTGATCGCTGCGGCTTCCGCCCGTGGGGAGGCACTCGTATTAAAAAGCAATGACTCAAGTGCTCTGCTGAGAGGGGGAACTGGAGCATGCCGTGCAGAACGCCACCAGGGCTCCTAGCCCATCTGCTGGTGAAAGCAACAGATCCAGGGTTGGAGATGTACAGCCCTCTCTCCCTTCTCCTGGTCATCCTGGGTATGGGGGGCAGTCATGTTGAACTTGAAACATCCATTGGGCAATGGTTGCTGCTCTCTGAACGGGTATTTCTGTATAACTTACAGGGGAAAACATCATTGGGAAGCAGTTTTCTACTCAAACCAAGGTGGTTTTGAAGGATCACCAAATTCACAGGTACCCAGCTGTGACCCAGCCACACCTGCTCGATGCCCACAGCTGGGCTGCAGACTGAGGGCACAGAACCATAGAGTTATCTGAGTTGGAAGGGACCGTTAAAGGCCATCTGGTCCAAATTCCTGCAGTGCACAGGGGTACCTACAGCTCTGTCAGTGCTCAGAGCCCCAGGTCCAGCCTGACCTGGGATGTCCCCATCCAGGGATGGGGTATCCACCGCTTCTCTGTGCCACTGCCTCACTAGGGGCATGGCCCCTGAAAGCACCAAGGGAAAGCAGAGACCTGCTTCCCTCTTCCCACTACCATGCCATGTCTGTTTTTCCTGCTACAAATAATAGCAGGGAGTTTTTTTTTTTTTTTTTTTTTTTTTTTTTTTTTAGCACAACAAATTCCTGTTTTGAACAAAACTGAAAATATCCAAAAGGCTTATCCTACTTTCTGTCCTACGAAAACAGAAATGGCCGTAAGCAATGAAAGAAGACAGTGTTTGTGTTATTTAAGGACAAAATGACGAGGTCTTAGGCATCTCCAGTTAAATTATGGCTGTCAGAGGTACTGTTAAGTGAAGCAGACACATCCTGCACCGCAAGCACCCTACAAAGGACCCAGCTTGCTTTGGCTTTCAACAGTCACCAAGTCTTGTGCCCAAAGGCAGCGCTTCCCAAACAGATCTCTGCATCCTAGAATGAGCCCCAGTCCATGAGCGACATCCCCACATCCCTACAACACAGTCAACACTTGCAGGCTCTCCAAGAGCTCCCAAGACCAATCGATAAAGAGAAACTAAGGGGAAGAGGTCACTTTAGGACAGTGTGGATACATGTGCTCCGCAGCTCCCCTCCTTTTTCCTGTGTTGCCATTTGCATTGTCCACATAAGATTATTCTCTTCTATTACCTTTTCCTCTCTCACATGCACTCCCCTTGCTTTTTCCTTTTCTTCTTTTAATAAAAATGGCATGAGAAGCACGGCAGAAGATAATGAAGAGAATTCCTGCCTGGCTCTGCAGTTGGGAGAGAGGAGGGGCGAGATTCTGTAAACAAAAGGACGTCAAAAATCTGGGCTGTTTTTTCAGCTGTGGCCCAGTCTCGGGCAGTTTGGATAAGCCCAACGACATGGCAGGTGCAAAGGCCTCAGAAGAAGTCTCTGCCCCTCTCCTGACCAGCGAGCTGACTCAGAAGACAAAAATACCTGGGGAGCAAACTTGGAGCAGCTTTTCCCTCTGCCCATAACAGGGTCCCAATGGGGGCAGTGGGTTTCCTCTGTTCGCCTTGCTCCCAACAGGGGAGTGGAATGAGAACTCATGTGTGGGATGCAAAGGTGGGGATTGGAGGCTGGATTCCTGCTCTCAACATAGCTTAAGCCTGGACTGTGGTCTGACCAGGGAACCTCAGGTGAATACTTTTGGGGTACGTTTTGTTCTAGGGCTGGCTTAGCTGCCTGAAGCCCAGCCTCACCATTCAGTGCCCAACTCAACACGACTGTATCAGGAAGGCATTTCCAGTGACACCTCCCATAACCACTGTACACAGTACCGGAAAGACTTTGTGGTTGAAGTCAGAGGTTGAAGTCAAAGGTTGGGCAATCAAAATCTTTTAGAAAGAGAAAAACATTCTTTGCTCCACAATATCCATCCATGTACAAAAGTTACCACCACCTCTTCTAGATATCACAAAACCCAAATGGCCCATTACTGTGTTGCTTGTGCACACTGGTGTAAGTCTGGAACAGCTTCAGAGACCTCAGTAACATACCC